CAGATGGCTCAAGACTATGAACAGCAATCTTCTAGCAAAGTCATGTGCCAACCTCCAGCCTCGAAGGAAGCAGGGACATATGTGAAAAGTACACCAATCCAGTCCCAAGCAGAATGGATGAAGAGATGGTCTCTGGAAACGTTCAGGCTGCAGGTCTTGAGAGGAAACCCAATCATTAATAAACCATTTTGGTTAAAGTGACAGCCTCTGTCAAAGTGAACCACAAATAAGATTCCCAACTACTATGCTTCCTGAACTGGGAAGCTTAATAAATACCAGCCCAGGCTAAGAAGTTGGGAATTACTGCAATAGGCTAAGAAGTACAGTGTTTCATTCATAGAACAATTTCCTGGGAATGTAAATGCATTTGTGTATGAATGAGATTTATGTGAATGAAGAGACTGCGCCTAATGAAAAAGCACTAAATGAAACATGGCTATTCTCAGTTCAACAGTTCTTATAAGCCTCTGTCTTTTAAAAATCTACTTTAATCATTTCCTCATTAGCTTGGTAACCTAATGAAATGTTGCTCTTTGGTTTTTGAACCCTAGAATTCTAAAGCTTCCCAAGACCATATCTGAGTTTCTGTGTCCCGGATTCCCCTTCTGTCTGTGTTGGCGGTCGGGCCCAGGCTCCTGGAGTCCGTCTCAGGAACCTCCATCACGCCGCCTGGGTAATTCAGTCCAGAGTCTAACAACCAACTGACCCGAGATGATACACGAGGCCCTTTAGAAAGAGCACAGTAATCGGGCTGGGATTTAGCTCAGTGGTTCTGCTATCTGCCTCACAAGCACAAGGTCCCTTAGTTCAAAAACAGCACAATAACCCATCATTGAACAAACAATGCGTAGTAGCATTCACTGCCGCTCCACTACCTTAGAACCAAAATAACTCCAGGTTATTATTACAAGTGACTTGATCTACTCACCATTTGATGATAAGAGAGTGAAAGTTGTCTCAGCCAACCTTTCTACCTTCAGGCATGCAAACACCACAATTTTCATTTTATCCATCCCAATCTTGCTGCAAATCTTAGGAATTATAATTAAAGTCAAGTATTTGAATTGTAAGCCACATTTCATAGCCAATAGGTATTTTTTTACTACAGCAGTCTGTTCTGATGTACCTCTTGGAGATTTCTGCAGTGGACAAACCCATCATCTCAACACAGCAATTCTTATGTACAGTTATGATATTCTGGTCTTGGAATGACCAACACTGTGATTAAATGATATTTACAATACTTATTTTTATCCACTAAGAGTGAATATTATTTTTAATGCCAACAAATGTGATTTTCATCCTGTTGAAATTTTAAAGAGTTATTCCATCTTCACTAGAAATACCCTGCAACAATAAGTTAATATCTTTCAATCTTTCAAAAACTGAGGTGGGCGTCTCATCTTTGAAGGGCTGACATAAGTACAACTTTCTCTAAGACTAAAAAACGTTCTGCTTGTTAATAATGAAGGAAGAACACACTGTGCAGTGAATCTTAGTCTTAGAACGTTTTCTTTTGAAACTCACATAAAACAAAATTACTTCCTTTCTGAGAAAGAAAAAGATATTGCATAGAATGCAAAAAGAGAGAGAGGGAGACAGAACAATCATTATTGTAAAGATAATTAAAGTGTCTTGGATTTCCAAACACTCTTAAGTCACTATATTGAGGAATAAGACTTTTTAATAGAAGTTGGATCTGGCCTTGAGCTTCAAACATAGTTATCTTAAACTTAAGACCCTGTTCATTGACAATCATCTCTGATTTCCATTCTGGAAAAAAAAATAAATTTCAACTGGAGTTGGTTTCTCTGGAAATGCCCCTACAATGCAGCTAGTGTTAAGCACTCTGAACTGCATCAAGAAGAGGCTATCACAGCAAACAGGCACACAACACATAAACCTGTTCTTACAAGTCACAGATACACAAAATCACTCAATTTGCCCTTGAATCTCATTCTCTAGAAAAATGTTTCATGAATCAAAGATTCCAATAGATCGTTGACTTCTTATTCAATTACAGTGACTTTCCACATGATAAGCAGACAGATGTTTACTGCTATGTAAATACAACTGCTTTAAAAAAGAGGGGCTGGACCACCAGAGACACTGTCATTTATAAATTTTATAAGCATCTTTATAGTATATGCTATTCTAAAGTTATATTGACTCATGGGTGCTTGTGAGGGTTGTTCTGGTTTTAGAAAGGATGGCTAAGAATAGCTTGTTGTATTTATAAAATATCTCTCAGACAAGCAGATGAGAAACTTCCCAAGCAACATCTTGCTTTATTTCTCAATATTCACAGGTGGAAGGGAGAAAAATCAGACCAGATCATATTTTGCACATGAGGAAATGAGGCAAACAGAAGTGACAGGATTATTAGGTGCCTGCTGGCCCCTCAACACAGCACGGCAGAGCCCATCCTTGACACTGGGGTCTGGAGAAGCAAAACAGTGCAAGGAGGAGCAGGGTTAGAAGCATAGCATCGCCCGCTGGGGGCTGCTGACTGTGGTGTTGGGTACAGGATGCACTGAAGTTTCCTCCAGAAAACACCTCCACCCCCGGGGCTGCAGCCTCCACAGAGAAAATCCTCTGCTCTCCCACAACCTGCCTCCACAGTGCTCCCACTCCAGGAGGTTAGCCCATGGCGCTCTTCTCCTACTCTGGCTTTCGTTGTTAATTAATATCATAGCTGTTACTACTCAGATTTATACAGCGCATTACAGTTTGCCCAACACAGGGACCTTATCGGCTCATTTAATCCACACACCTTTAGGAGGTCTTATATTCCTATTTTAGAAACAAGCAATTAAAAGGCTCAGAGACTAAGTGCCCATGCAAAGTCCCTGCTCTTTCTTGGGAGTGGTTAGAAAGCACCATCACTTTCTCACGTTCAATCAGCCCAGTAACCATTTGGCCTCCAGCGCAAGCCAGACTCTGGATTACAGAATCCCTAGCTCACCCAGCCTGCTCTCTCTCTCGAGCAGGTCCTTCAGCCTACAAAATAAAAAACCGTGATGGTCTTAGTTAACTCTCCAAGGAGACTAAAACAATACAATTAAGGCGAAATTCTCTGCAAACTGCAGAAAAGGTGAACCTGCCCAGCTGCGGCTAACTTTGTCACAGCAAAGAGCTGCTGGAGCCTGGGGGTCTGGATGCTGCCAGGAACACTATGAAGGGACAAGAGAGGTGCGGTCAGCGTGGTGTAACCCCATTCCGTGTGTCATGCCCAGTCTGAAGCCCTCGCCAGGTTAGTGGTCTCTGGAGCACATGGCTCTGCCGGTTAACACAGCTCTGGTTCCTAGAATGAAGCCTGAGTCAGGGGTTAAAGCCAAGCAGAAACACCGTGAGACAAAAACACAGTTACAACAACACCTAAAGGTTCTAGTCAGGTGGCAGCAGGCTGGTCTGGCACGTGGAAGGCTCTGGGTTCTACTTCAGCCCTGAAAATAAGGTTCAAGCCACAATTCAGATCCAAAGACTGCTAAATTTAAAGGATTGAGAATTGAAACCTTTTATCACATCAGGAAACGAAGGAGGATAAGCATTTAGAATCACAGCGTTTTCAACAATTCTGATTCCTTTGTTAAAAACACACATTGTTCTAGCTCTAAAATTGGGCAAATCCTGTCAGTATTCTAGCCCTTACAGATATGTCAAGCAATGGTGCATCTTAGAGCTGACGGGATCTCTGCTGCAGCCGACTCACAGGGTATTTTATTACCTGTTTGTAGGTTGGTTCCAAGGGAGGCTTTCCAGCTTCGCAGCTGGAACATTTTGAGTCCTATCTGCGCAGAATGTGAGAGCAGGCGCCCGGAGGCCGGCCTCCCCAAACTCCACAGCGGGGATTTAGAATGGGACTGCGAGGCAGCTCCCCTGCCCAGAAGCAGAGGCACTGAGGTCAGAGACAGGACGCCTGCCCTCAGCGGCTCTGGTGCCCTCGCCAAAGCTGTGCAGGCAACACAGCCCTGGCATCTGCTTGATTGTGTCGGCTTCTGCTTCAGGAACAGCATTCTGAAGCTGAGCGCTCAGAAACACGCTGTGGCACGTGCCCACTGCTGTCCGCAGAGAGATCTCCCTCTCTCTTACCTTCCCTTTCAGACCTCAGCCTGACCCGTTACTGGATCGTAAGTGAAAAGTCACGGGCAGCCTGCACGGCCTCAGGGTCTACTTTCAGTAGCAACTTCTAAGCGAAAGCAAGATCCACTTCCACCTCTTCAAACTTCATCCCAACACAACGCGATCGAACCCACCGCAGCCCCCGTCGCCCCGTGCACCGGGCAATCGCAGACACCCATTCGGAAGCGCGACCCTTTCTGTCTGCTGTGACAGGAAAGGGCTGGTGTAAAACGGGATACTCACAAGGAAGGAGGAGGAGGTCTCTTCTCAGGAGGAGTCCAAAGGAAGTGCACCAAAGTCAGTACAAAATGGGGGAAAGGAATCCTCCAACAACGTGGGGGAGTCTGCGGACAGTAGTGAGGAACCACTTTGCTTGCTACCTCAGAATCACTTCTGACATCGTGATGTAGCTCTAAAGCTATTAGATGCTGGCCCACAGCACTGTTACACATGCACGCACGCATGCACACACGCACAAAACCACACACCCACACCTTCCTGCAAGGCTTCTCAGACTGTGGGTGAAAAATAGTTTCTGATTAAAAGCAAAGTGAGCAGCCATAACCAATGACTTACTCCCTTTGGCCTCATTTAATTCTTTCCCTTCTACAGCTTGAGTCACCCTTACTATTACGGCCTAAATTCCAACAGCCTCCACTCGGAATCTTACCTGAGACCAAAGTGTGGATTTATTATCAAAATGCAAGCCCACCGCAAGTCCTCAGACAGTAGAAATGCCCGTGAGCACTGAAGGGAACAAGGCTCCTTCACGATTTTATCTTGAGTTATCACAGTAATCACAGACCCTATAGCACAGTCATGAACAAAGGGCCCAGAACACAATTTAGGCGACAAAACAAGCACACGAGGTAGTCCGTGATAAGATCCTTAAAAATTACCTTTAATTGATGCCAAATATGAACAGATCATAAAGTGACAGAAGCAAGTAAAATTGCATAGATGAAAACTATGCTCATGAATTAGGTTCTCACTTCGTAACATTCAACGTCCTCTACCTGATGTGGTAAACAGTTAGGGCAAGGGGACTGCAAGGAGAGAAAATGAGACACAACCTTAACTCAAGGGGGAGGCGAATGGCAAACTGGAGAAGGAAAGCCTTTTCAGCTTCAATGGTTTGTCGTCCTGATGGTGCACTTAGGGTTCACACCCTCAGTTTTAACCTCTAATGTTACCATTCCTACGAGAGGTGTGTCATAAAAATCCAGTCTACTGACAGCCACTGCACACATGGTCCCCGAACAGTGCACTGGGGAGAAAAAGGGGTCTGCAAGTTTTGGAGAGGAGATAGCTTTTGACTTGGAATGTTCTACAAGGGTTGCTTTGTTTTGCTTTGTTCCCTTACACCATTCCTTGTTCTTCTCTGATTGTGGGACAAAATGTGGAGACTCTTGGAAGTTTCATGTCTTAAGTGAAAATCAGCGTGACTTGGGGTTCTCTCCCTACAGCCCGCAGCCCTGGGGGCAGTGAGGCCTCACCCTTTCCATACACACGGGGCTTTCCCAGGGAGCCCCGGGCCACTTCACCTGAGCAGAGACTAGCATGAGACCCGCAGGCTCCCGCCTTGCACCCACAGCCTGCCAGAGTGTGCGGTGATCCACAGTCCTGGAGCCTCTTCAGTCACCTACCCGTTCAGTCCCTGTTCGCTCCACTGGAGAAGTGCAAGTAATGTACATTCTGTAAGATTTACCTGAGTCATGCCAGACATGTTCACATGTACCCTGAAATTCCCCAATATAAATGTGAGCGCTAATATGCCACATGGTAGACGAGAGGCCACTTCCTGAGATCACAATTCAACCTGCATTTTTTTTGGTGGGGGGTCTGGTTTTAAAAACTTAAAAGTTTATTTGTCTTCTTAACATGAACATAAACATCAAAGGACTTCCCTTTTGCTTAAAAAGAACTGGAAGATAAAGTGGCTGTTTGGCAGTTTAGTCTAACAATTTTATCCTATGGACGGCTGCCACCCACCAATTTTCACCACTCCCAAGAAGTCACTCCTGGAAGAAAATGGGGAGTCGCCTTCCACTAATACGGTTTCCTTTCTGCTCAATCCAATCTACCAAACAAGGAATTAGAATTTAAGGTTGTTAAAAAGCATGGGTTTCCTATATTAAATGGGAGGGTTAGGAACTATTTTTCACTGATTCTTTCTGATATTAACTAATTTGAAAAATGCATAATTATATGCAACATGAAGAAGGCCCTTTCTGGAGATATGTACCCCTCATGTAGCATCTACGTGTATTTCTGGTCTCTTCCCAAGCGAATGGAGATCATGGTGTCCTTGTGCTTCAGCTTCTCCACTGTGGAATCTAAATGCACCATACAAGTTTATGTTAGAGAAATGAATGCCCACTGGCCAGCGTGCAGGAGAAAAGCTTGCTGTTCGCTGATCAGATTGTGCGGGGCTGACCACTAACACACACCCAGCAGATGAGTGTGACTGATCACCAGGCCTGAGGCGGAAGTGTGCACAGATGGGAGGGGAAGGGTGCAAACAGAAAGCCCTCTCCTAGCTAGGATCTGGGACCTAGAGTCTGAGGACAGAGAAAGGTAATGTCTTTGGTCTCTCTGGTTCAGATCACTTGAGGTGAGTTAATCACGGCAGAGATTCTGGGGTGACTAACAGCCCTGGGGTGGCCAGCCCTTCAGGCCCCCACTGAACTAGGGCCCCACTGGAAGGGCTGAACTATGGCTATCAGCACATCAGAAGTCTTCTTCTGAAGAAAACTAATAATTGGGGAATGAGCCTTCAAAGGTCAGTACCTAAGGGATGGGAAGGCAAAAAGCCTGATCAAATAAGAATGAGATAAGGAAGCCAAACAATAGTAGTTCCTTAGTAGGTAGTTTTGTTAAGTGCACCTTCAGGCCTACAAAAACATCTCAGCACATTACAGTGCAAGGGTAAGAGCTGGGTCAGAGGTCGCATGCCTATGCTACACAGATAATCCCTGTACTCCGCTCTCACCATTCGCTGCAATGAGCTACGATGGATAAGCAGCACTCCTTCCCGTACACCCAATTCCATAACAACAGCTCATCCTCAACCCAGGCAGACAGCTTCACTGCATGCAGTACTCACTCCTGTCATGCGTGCGGAGCCTCGGCCAGCCTGAATGAAGCATGAGGAGCGCCCGGCACAGTGAGTCAGCCTCATGGCTCGGCCCTGCCCCCCTTACCTATCCATCCATCCCATAGTAACAGTACTGAGAGGATTATTGCTGTTGACAGAGCGCAGCGTTTTAAGTTCTGTTGTGTCCTGGACCTCAAAGTCAAAAGAAAAGATCGAGATATCCCTGGAACTTTGGGGAGGGTCTACAATTTCCTCCCCATCTGGGGGAGCTGTGAAGCTGGGGGAGACGGACGGCCAGGAGGAGGGCGGTTGAACACCGCACAGGAGTTGAGGCCCTGGAGTCAGAGGCTGCAGTCGTTGGCCCCTCGTCTTCCAGGAAGTGTGCTGTCTTCACCTTTCAGATTCAAAAGTTGCACAGGGAAATACACATCCGTGTTCCTTCCTTGAACCCAGCTAGCCAGCCTGACCCAGTGGTCCTCTGGTTGGCTGCCTGACTGATAGATCAAGGATAAGATGGTGGGAAGAGATGGAAGTCACAGGGAAGATTCCAGAAGCAGTGGGGCAGGAGTGGAAGGTGGTCAGCAGCAGGCGACTGCATGCTAAGCGAAGAACAAAGATTCCCCACTTCAAAAGGGTGGGAGTGCCTCCCTGCTGGCGGACAGCTGCTGGCTCCAGAGGCCTGAGTGTGTGGCTCTCTCCCCACTGGCACAGGGTCCCTATCATCCTCTTCGGGGGCTTGGGGCAGCAGAAGTTAGATGCTCAGCCTGCCGGGTGGGAAGGTCACAGGTGCATCAGAAGGAACCTATGGGCTGGGCCAAGAGGGCAGACCCAGGGAAGGTCTTTATGCACTGTGTTCCCAAGTCTCCTACAATGCCCAAGGAGATCAGACTATTTGAGATTTGCAAAGTACTATAGCAAACGGAGAAAAAAAATAAGGAAATGTACCATGACTGCACACTGGGCCCGACGAAGTTTCATGCGTCAGAGCGGCCCTCTGGGGGGACACAAATTCCCCAAAAGTTTGTCTTGGTTTCTGGTGGAGAAGAGGAAAAACACGAGCTCATGGTCCATATCTAGTTCAAAGATGGGCCTCAGGTCACGCTCACAGTCAGGCTGTCCGAGGGACGGAGTCCAGAGGATGGCCAGAGATGGCGCCCTCCCGGGCCTGTGCTCTCCAGGATCCAGGGTGCAGCAGGCTTCTCACAGTGGTGAGGTGAGGGTGAGGATGAAAAAACGAAACCAAATAAAAAAATAAAAAGCAAAGTATCTGTGCCCCAACCCTTCCTCCCTCTTATTACATAACTTCTCAGCTGTGTTATGGAGGCACTTTCTGCAGTTCACTGTGGGTACAGGATAAAGGCACTAAGCAACTATTAAATCAACTGGTTGAGTTTCTTCAGGGAGCCTCAAGGGGAGGGTTGAAGTCTTAACAGACTTCAAATCATGACTGCAAAAAGAAATCAGCTCTGCTTTGGATGCATACAAGAGATAAACATTATCACTTACATCCTAAGAATGCACCAAAAACATGCAATATTGCACCTTTTTTGTGTGTTTGTTTTGCTTGGTTTATCTTCAACTAGAAAGAATACTTGTTCTTAGGTGTTACTATATATACCTCGATGACTTAAGTTTCCACATAGTTCCCATTTAGGGATGGGCATATCAGTCCTCTCTCTGCCCCAACCTGCACAGAAACCTGACGATTCCCTGATTGACCAAGGGAAAATTGACTGTGCCCCCCCACTCCCACCCCCATTATTTCTTTGGGCCTTTCATCCCACGGACTTGTAAATTTTTATTTGTAAGGTTTATTACTGAAATCATGCACTAATTAATTCAAGGTACATCTTCATCAAATAGGCCATAATGCTTAATAAGAGAACATGCTGGGCTCCAAAAAGTTATTGTCCCCATCTGACTAACATATGCACTTGAAGACAGTCCTTTATTTACTAAAAGACTTAATAAATGAAGGAGTGCACTTTTGGTGAATGCAAATGAAAACGGATCTGTTTTTAGAAGAGTTGATTTCAAAGTAAACTTATTCCCTATCGCCTGGGTTAACGTTCTCAGCATGCGATAAATAAAATAAATGTTACCAGATTCCAGCATGCTTACATGTGACTCCATTTGTGCTCTCTTGCCGTAAGGAGACTAAGTTCTGCAGTTCTGCAGGCTGGGTCCCTGGCAGCTGGGATCCCCTGAGGCTGGGAACTCTCAGCAGCTCTGCAGATGCACCACTTAAATTAACTCAGCTGTCCTTTTCTCAGAGAATAGTCTGGATTAGAAGTCTGAGAAGGGGGCAGTGGGAAAATCCTCATGGAGCAGGACCAGTATCAGACTGATAAGGAGCCTTGTGAACCAGTCTGAAGGGATTTGGGTTTGTTTACCTTGCAATATGCAGTTCAGCTGATCAAAATCAAACCATGTATTCATGCCCCATTGCAGCTGGTATATTACATTAGAAGCACTGCCCTTACCTTGCTGCAAGGTTCGCAAAGATCTTAAGTTGGAATTCTGGGCAAATTTTAATTTTGTGTTTCTAACTGATCATCCGGGGTTTAGTTTTAAATTTTTTTTTTTAAGAAGCCAAAAAATCAGAAATGTTTCACAGGGCAAAAAGGAATCTTATTTTACCTGGACTAGTTTCATGGGCTGCATTTTAAAAGCTGGTTTTAGAAAATACTCTTTCCTTTTCCTTTTTTTTAACAAAACAAAAATAGTTTCGTGTGTGTGTGTGTGTGTGTGTGTGTGTGTGTGTGTGTGTGTGCATGGATCTTGAAAGTTTCTGGTTTGCCACTCCCAAAATTCACAATGCAACAATGCATTGCCAGTTGAGTAAAGCATTCAAAGACTACTTAGTAAAGTATCTACACAGGGTGACCAGAGTCACGGGGGTTAAGTCTTTTGAGTGGGGCTTTTTTGCTCACTGGCTCTTCCTACACATCGGTCAGCAGCTTGCTCTTATTAACGCAGTTCTGATTGGCTGTGGTGCAGTTGCCAGTTCTGATATTGGCCTGTCTGTAATGGGCTACACTATTATTCATGTCCTCTTCGATCTCCATGTACTCAGACTTGCTCATGGTGGAGGAGCTGCGGCGGCTGAGGTCACTGTCAGAGGCTAAGTTAGGAGAGCTGACGTGGAGCAGCTGAGCCTGCTCTTCCCCCTCAGTTTCTCGGTGGTAGAAATAGTTGAAATTGGACACAATGACAGGTACGGGCAGGGCAATTGTCAGCACACCAGCGATGGCACACAAGGAGCCCACGATCTTGCCTCCAATTGTCACAGGGTACATGTCACCGTATCCCACAGTGGTCATGGACACCACCGCCCACCAGAAAGCATCGGGGATACTGGAGAAGTGAGACTCAGCTTCTTCCGCCTCGGCAAAGTACACTGCACTAGAAAACAGTATGACCCCGATGAAGAGGAAGAAGATGAGCAGCCCTAGCTCCCTCATACTAGCTTTGAGGGTCTGGCCCAGGATCTGCAGCCCCTTGGAGTGGCGGGAGAGCTTGAAGATCCTAAACACCCTTACCAGCCGGATGACCCTGAGTATGGCCAGCGAAGTGGCCTGCTCGCCCTTCTGGTTCCCCTCCTGCTCTGCTATCTCCGTGCCCAGGGTGATGAAATAGGGGATGATGGCCACGATGTCGATGAAGTTCATGATGTTCTTAAAGAAGTCCGTCTTGCTGGGGCAGGCGAAGAAGCGCACCACCAGCTCGAAGGAGAACCAGATAATGCACAGGGTCTCCACGATGAAGAAGGGGTCGGTGAAGATGTTGGAGCTGTAGACGACCGTGCTGTTGTCGGGGTGGTGGATGGTGCCCGTGAAGTCCTTGTCGTCCTTCAGCTCGGGCAGCGTCTCCAGGCAGAAGATGACGATGGAGATGAGGATGACCATGACGGACACGATGGCGATGACCCGGGCGGGCCCTGAGCTCTCAGGGTACTCGAAGAGCAGCCACACCTGGCGCTGGTACTCCTTCTCCGGCAGGGGGCGCTCCTCCTCCTTAATGAAGCCCTCGTCCTCCCGGAACTTCTCCATGGCCTCCTCGCCCAACTCGTAGAATTTGATCTCCTCGGAGAACATGTCCAGCGGCACGTTGACCGGCCTGCGCAGGCGGCCCCCCGACTGGTAGTAGTAGAGGATGGCGTCGAAGCTGGGCCGTCCGGTCGATAGGGTACTCGAAGAGCAGCCACACCTGGCGCTGGTACTCCTTCTCCGGCAGGGGGCGCTCCTCCTCCTTAATGAAGCCCTCGTCCTCCCGGAACTTCTCCATGGCCTCCTCGCCCAACTCGTAGAATTTGATCTCCTCGGAGAACATGTCCAGCGGCACGTTGACCGGCCTGCGCAGGCGGCCCCCCGACTGGTAGTAGTAGAGGATGGCGTCGAAGCTGGGCCGGTTCCGGTCGAAGAAGTACTCGTTGCGGAGCGGGTCGAAGTAGCGCATGCGCTTCTTGGGGTTGCCCAGCAGCGTGTTGGGGAACTGTGCCAGGGTCTTGAGCTGAGTCTCGAAGCGCAGCCCCGAGATGTTGATCACCACACGCTCGCAGCACTCGTGGTCGTCGTGGTCTGCCTGCCGGGGGTAGCTGCCCTCCTGGGGGTGGCCAGGGGCGGCCGAGGTTTCGTCCACGTTGTCCCCAGACATCACTGTCATGGTGGAAGCGGGGAGCAGGGGCGGGAGGCCAAAAAAGAGCCCGGAGCACCGCGAGACGGCTTGGGGAGTGGGGTGGGGGAGCCCCGGCCCCCACCCGACAGCGCGCGCCCCTCACGCTCAGCGGGAGGGACTTCGAAGTGAGCCGGTCCCAAGACCGGCGGAGGGTTGGGCGCCCCTTCACTCCTCACCCCGGCTCTCCCGGCTTTGGGATCCCCTCCTCCCGCGGCCCGGGTGCAGCTCCCCCCCCCCTTCTCTTTTTCCGCAAGGGTCGGTTTGGGGTGAGCACCGTGTCTGCTCGG